TATTAAATAAAAAATTATCTTTAAATATAAAAAAATTAAAAATTAATATTTTTATTTAAAAATTAATAAAATTAACATTTTTAAATTAAAAAAAATAAATTATCATCTTTATTTCTACATTTTCTTAATTTTAATCGGAGTAATTCCATGCTAGCCAACATCTCTGAAACCCATCATTGCCTGCAGATCACTAAATTCCAATAACTTCGGAGGACAAATTCCACCATCTATTGGTAATCTATCGAATCTATATTGGCTGGATCTGGCTGACAACCAAATAGAGGGCCCAATTCCTGTGTCAGATGGAACTACACTCGGCCTTGACATGTTGGTCCATACCAAGCATTTGTATGTTACTTGTCTTCCTAATTTTAACTTGTTTTATTATTTTATGTTTCCTTTTTAATAATATCATCTAATGTTTTCTCCTTTATCCACAGTCATTTGGGACAGAATAGACTTTCAGGCGAAATCCCGGAGAAAATTTTCAGCTCAAACATGGCTCTGGTACATGTGTGAGTTTCACTTCTGTTTCTTTAATTATATTTTGACTGCATAAGTTACCAGAAAATAAATAAGCAGAGGGCTTAAACCTGGAAATTTTCTGCAACAAACAAATATTGCCTTCTGAATAATAGTGCTTCTGTACCAGAAGAGGGGAAGGGAAGGATGAGTTTTTTAACCACTCAAATTATATTGTTTTCAAATATCGCAGTCGGATTGGTTAAAAAATTCATGACTCCCCTTCATTTCCCTCAAATGTTCTTCTTTTGTTTAGTGTAGAAGCAAATCTGCCCTTTTCTTCTTTTCTCCTTCCTTTTCAGTTTTCATCAAATCACAGGCTGGATTGTCGTATGTTTGAAAGCTTTCACTTCTCCTCTTTCTGCCAGGTTATTTGACAGCAACAACCTCAGCGGTCCTATCCCTTCAACCCTTGGGCTTGTGAAATCTTTACAGGTGATGTGAGTATCTAGAACACATGCTTAAGCAGATTCGAAATGAGATTATTGTTGGAATTGGATTTTTGTGGGTGTGACTGAAGAAGTTATTGTTTTGGCTGTAGACGTTTTGATAACAATTCCTTAGGTGGGAGTGTTCCATCAAATCTCAACAATCTCACAAGTCTTCAAGAATTGTAAGCATGCAAAAGATGGAAGATGAGCGGTCTTTGCATTTATTAGTTTATCTTCTCTAATAGAAAATGTTTTGTGAACTTCTTTTCAGGTATTTGTCTAACAATAACCTGAATGGCTCTTTACCCTCCCTTACTGGCATGAGCAATCTCAACACCTTGTAAGCAGTGCATGCCTTTTACATAACTAAACTACCCCTTTTTTCTTAGTCTTTTTCTCCACTTCCTATTTGTCTGCAATGCATGCACTTCATGTCTTCAATTGAAATTGTTATTCACCAAGCCTCCTTCAATAACTCTATACGGTTGTCATTGGTTTTCATTCTAATAGTATGATTGTGTTCTGCAGAGACTTGAGTTATAATGGATTCAGTCCCTCTGTGATTCCTACATGGGTTTCATCTTTGTCATCCTTAACAACATTGTATGTCCATCTCTATCTTTTAACATTGTATGAACTATTTTAAATGCAGAACCCAAATACTCTCTTTTAGTCTTTTACCGTCACACTTCATTGAGGGCCATATATTTTGTTAAACTATTGGTGAGAGATTCTTTCCACCCCCAGTGAATATTGTAAGCAGCAATATGATGTGTAAAACTTAATCATGCTAGTTAATGGCACAATAAATCCATTGATCCCTGAATGTGTTTTCTCCTCCTCCCTCTTTCTTTCCCTCTCTTCCTTGCCTTCTCACTTTGTTTTCTGCATGTTCATGGACACATGGCCATATTCCTGTATACATACACATTGCCGGGTTTCTTTTCAAGTTAAGAGAATAATTGATTTCTTTGCAAGGCAGAAGGATGGAAAACACTCAACTTCAAGGTGAAGTTCCTGTCAACCTCTTCAGCCTTCCACATTTGCAGACTGTGTGAGTATCAACTTCACTTCATGCACTACCATTCCTTGTCCTGGATGTTCCCAACTTTGGTGAAACATATCCTGTTGATCTAAACCATGGAGATGATAACTGGAGGCTAATTATTTCTATCTTTGTCACATTGTGCAGGGGGCTAAAACGCAACCAGCTAAATGGCACCTTGGTTATAGGCATGGAATTTAGTAACCAGCTGAGCCTCATAGATTTGCAGAATAATTGGATTAGTAAGTTCAATGAAATAGAAGGATACGACATTCGGATAATGTGAGAGTCATTTCTTCTGGCTTTTTCTTTCTCCATTAATTTATCTTTTACTTAACAACTTGGTGTTATTACTTCGAGGTCAAATTGCCTTTAGATGTATTCTCTTTCAGTGTTAAAGCTTATGAATGTCATTCTTGGCTGAATTAATTTATGCAGACTTGCTGATAACCCCATTTGTGAAAAGACTGAAGAAACAGGAGCAACAAAAACTTACTGTGCAGTTCCACAATCAAATTCCACTTCCACTTCCTTGTATACTACCCCTCCCAACAGCTGCCTGCCTACTACATGCAATTCAGACCACATTTCTAGCCCCACATGCAGATGTACATATCCATATACAGGAATTCTATTTTTCAGAGGAATTTTATTCTCAGACTTGGGGAACTCAACCATATATGTGGTTTTAGAGACATCTCTGAAGCAGTTCTTCCAGTCCAACAATCTTCCTGTTGATTCAGTATCACTAAGTAATCCAAGAATGGATCCCTATAGATATTTTCTATTAAACCTTAATATCTTTCCATATGGCCAGGATAGTTTCAATCGAACAGGGGTTTCAACAATTGCATTTATATTTAGCAACCAGTCTTACAAGCCACCATCTAATCTTTATGGACCTTATTTTTTTCGCGGTGATGCTTACAACCACTTTTCAGGTATTTACACAATTCTTATAGAACCATAATGAACAATTAAATGTAGTTCTGTTTGATTTTACTCTACACTTTTATGTCATATGTGGTTTCTTCAGACCCTAAAAGCTCCAAAAAATCAACTACTGGCATCATTATTGGAGCAGCTGTTGGTGGCTCTGTGCTTCTGCTACTTTCACTGCTTGCTGGGGTTTATGCTTTTCATCAAAAGAAGAGGGCAGAAAGAGCAAGCCTAGAGAGCAACCCTTTTGGTATGATTAGCATTTATTTATCATAGCATATTTTGGTTGATTGCACACAAACATTAAGTTTCTTGATCCATTCTCTGCTGTACAAATGCAGCACACTGGGATGTTAAGAAAAGCAGCGGAAGCATTCC